GGCGGCTTCTTCACAACGTGAAATTTACGGCAATCCGAGAAATCCCACGCGCATTACGTTTTCGCTGGGCGCACAGCCGGACAGCGCGAATATTCAGGGGAGTGAGGTTGCGTTTGACATTTTGTGCAACTTAAACAAGGACAAAGGGTTGCAGGTAGCTGCAATTTAGGAATGCTGAAACCGCATATTTCTAAATTCTCAGCTCAATCTTCGGTGCTTTAACTTCCAAGCGGGGCGAATGGTGGCACGGTGGTTTGCACGTTGCACTAATCAAAATGGATAACTTCAGTGCACCCCCCTTTCACCTACCCGCACTCGTCCGTGGTGAAATATTATTAAATGACCCCCCATGACTCACGTGGGATGGGCAAGTGCACGTATACCGAGTTGCTGCCAGGGATAGCTGTTCCCATGTTTGTGTTTGATTGATCTGTCGTTACCCGGTTAGGTGCATCTGTGGCGTACACACACACGACAGATGAGACACTTTGTGCGTCGAGCTGAATCACATGTGAAATGTGATTATCTCTCTCGCGCTCAATGCGCAAAGTTAATTCCAAATGGCTCCGGTGTGGTCGATCCAATGTGCACTTAAAAACTACAATCCACGTGCCATTTCTTCAGAGTGATTCTATCGTGCCTATCTTCCTTTTATTTTCTATCGGCTGTCAGAGTCAATAATATATCAGGTGATATTTCTACACGGTACAGTACAATCAGTCTAAAATAACTGTGCATGCCAACAACGTTTACGGCCAATGATGGAATGGATTTATTGAAGCCAGTGTGTGCACAACGACAGAATGTCAATCTGCAAAAGCAATGCACAAGAACAGCCGTGTGCTAATCAGAGCTAGCGTGTACAAGGGTTTACACTGTAATCCTACTACGTATCACTGACTAAAGCTGGTGGAACAGACACAAGTGACCATTTTTAACAAGTGTGCTTCTCAGGTAGCAAGATAGTGAAAATAATCAATACCATCGAGTTATAAGGAGGTATAATCTAGACAGCACTTTTGTTTGGGCATCTGGAAAATGTTCACATTAAAGTCAGTACAAAACAGCATAGCCCAGACACTTCATGAAGAACTCATTATATGACTAACAGGCTGCTGCTAATATTTTATACAAGAGCATGGAGATGAATACAATGATCAACAATAACAAATAAAATAACCCATAAGGGGAGGAGGGGGACAACAGTGTAAAAACAAAACTCTGGGAACAGACACCGACCCGTGACATTACACGGGCAAGCACATCGTAAAGGAAGACTAAGAGAACCAGGAAACAAACAACGCTTAAAAAAAAAAGCAACAACGCAAGTGTGATCAAAACCGAGTGGAACCAAGTGGCGCAGTGACAGTCGAGACTATGAATATGCTTAAGCAGGCACCACAAATGCAAGCCACTATAAAAATCAATCCCGTGTACGAATTGAGAAGGATGACGGTTCACTACGCGAGCGCCCTACGAGAGAGAGTCTGCCACCAAGTATATCCCCACGTCACGGCTTTCGTGTCGCACGACGCTCTGACAAACGCTTCCGGCAGGCCTCCAGCAGGGTCTCCCCGACACGTCCATTTATTTTGCGGCTGCCCAATGCCCACCAGCACCTGCGCACGTTTTACCCTGCGGTGTGCATCGCCGCCGCTCGACAGCGGAGCCAGGGTCCCTCTGCGGGCAGCCTATCTCAACCGTGTGTAATTGCTCCACTGGGTGCATTTTATAGCCCTCGTCCAATAACGTAACCCGTCCTGCATCATTTTTCCCGCAAACTACGGGAAATTGCCTCTGCGAAAAACGCCGTCAGACATTGGTGCAAGTTACGTTGGTGACAGACCCGAGCATTCAAAAATGGGAAATGTGCGCGATCTATGACGACGGTGGCAAGACGCAGACAAAGTATAAAGACCACTCCAAGGAAATATTCGTGAAGGAAACGGACATGGGTCAGAGCAGATTTTGGTACCACCTAAAGTGGCAAACATCCTTAGTAGCACTGATTTATTTATATGGCTAATAAGAGTGAATTACTTGATAACCCACTCATTGAAGTGGTCATGACATGGTTCGCTGTCATTGGCCACACAACGAAATTGGAACCACTAAAGTTCAAGGTGGTAGCAACAAACGAAATATCTTGGTTCAAGTTCATCGACTAAATTGATGAAAAGGCCAAGATATTAGAAGACTACATCCCTGCGCAAGTCTATTTTATAGGGCCAAACAAATATCCATGATAAAAAAATACATTGGTGATGGTTGCCAAGCGAGCATAAAATATAAAGAAAAAAATTATTTCAACATGTACCGTACAGCACTTCATTTACTGACGAAGTTGTAATTAAACACAAGAGACTGACTGAATTTAAATATAATTTACACTGCTAAGTGTTCAGTGACTGATTGAAAAATTACCTTGCTTAAAAAGTCTGGAATAGGGTGGACGCAAGTAAGCTTGCCACATGAGTGCACTGGACATGAGGCAATGGCATTAGACAATGATGAAAAGGGTGGTTAATGTGTTTTGTCAGTGGCAGCGGATGACAAAAGTTCCTCCTGCTTAAGTCATAAATTACCTTCCGAGTATGAGAAATAAAAAGGTAACCCTTGGGGAAGAAGTCTGTGGAATCTTATACAAGCCCTATGACAGCAGGGCACTGAACAAAGAAAATTATTGGGAGCCTCTACAAGATGTAATAAACTATATAATGGGATAAAAAGATACATTGTGTCCTCCATCATGCAAACATGTGGGACAGTTTTAATTGTGTCAAGGCAAACTCCCTTTCCATCATTTAGAGGGAGGTCGCATAAATCATGTCTGATACACCAGTAGTACAATAATTCATTAGCAAGCTTGACTCCACTGATGAGACCCAGAAAGTAAAAACTGGTCCAGACTTTACATATTTTAAATGATGCTGCTGGCTGATGTACAGTGAGGGAAAAAAAGTATTTGATCCCCTGCTGATTTTGTACGTTTGCCCACTGACAAAGAAATTATCAGTCTATAATTTTAATGGTAGGTTTATTTAAACAGTGAGAGACAGAAAAACAACAAAAAAATCCAGAAAAACGCATATCAAAAATGTTATAAATTGATTTGCATTTTAATGAGGGAAATAAATATTTGACCCCTCGACAAAACATGACTTAGTACTTTGTGGCAAAACCCTTGTTGGCAAGCACAGAGGTCAGACGTTTCTTGTAGTTGGCCACCTAGTTTGCACACGTCTCAGGAGGGATTTTGTCCCACTCCTCTTTGCAGATCTTCTCCAAGTCATTAAGGGTTCGAGGCTGACGTTTGGCAACTCCAACCTTCAGCTCCCTCCACAGATTTTCTATGGGATTAAGGTCTGGAGACTGGCTAGGCCACTCCAGGACCTTAATGTGCTTCTTCTTGAGCCACTCCTTTGTTGCCTTGGCCGTGTTTTGGGTCATTGTCATGCTGTAATACTCATCCACGACCCATTTTCAATGCCCTGGCTGAGGGAAGGAGGTTCTCACCCAAGATTTGACGGTACATGGCCCCGTCCATCGTCCCTTTGATGCGGTGAAGTTGTCCTGTCCCCTTAGCAGAAAAACACCCCCAAAGCATAATGTTTCCACCTCCATGTTTGACGGTGGGGATGGTGTTCTTGGGGTCATAGGCAGCATTCCTCCTGCTCCAAACACGGCGAGTTGAGTTGATGCCAAAGAGCTCCATTTTGGTCTCATCTGACCACAACACTTTCACCCAGTTGTCCTCTGAATCATTCAGATGCTCATTGGCAAACTTCAGACGGGCATGTATATGTGCTTTCTTGAGCAGGGGGACCTTGCGGGCACTGCAGAATTTCAGTCCTTCATGGCGTAGTGTGTTACCAATTGTTTTCTTGGTGACTATGGTCGCAGCTGCCTTGAGATCATTGACAAGATCCTCCAGTGTAGTTCTGGGCTGATTCCTCACCATTCTCATGATCATTGCAACTGCACGAGATGAGATCTTGCATGGAGCCCCAGGCCGAAGGAGATTGACAGTTCTTTTGTGTTTCTTCCATTTGCGAATAATCGCACCAACTGTTGTCACCTTCTCACCAAGCTGCTTGGCAATGGTCTTGTAGCCCATTCCAGCCTTGTGTATGTCTACAATCTTGTCCCTGACATCCTTGGAGAGCTCTTTGGTCTTGGCCATGGTGGAGAGTTTGGAATCTGATTGATTGATTGCTTCTGTGGACAGGTGCCTTTTATACAGGTAATTAGGAGCACTCCCTTTAAGAGTGTGCTCCTAATCTCAGCTCGTTACCTGTATAAAAGACACCTGGGAGCCAGAATTCTTTCTGATTGAGGGGGTCAAATACTTATTTCCATCATTAAAATGCAAATCAATTTATAACATTTTTGACATGCGTTTTTCTGGATTTTTTTGTTGTTATTCTGTCTCTCACTGTTCAAATAAACCTATACCTTTAAAATTATAGGCTGATCATTTCTTTGTCAGTGGGTAAACGTACAAAATCAGCAGGGGATCAAATACTTTTTTTCCCTCACTGTAAGTCTAGAAGGCCAACAGTTCTATTTATTAATTTCCACAACCCAAGTTTCGTTAATTTCCAATACACTTGGCAAACGTTATGTTGCGCCCCTTCATATTTAACATGCACAACACTGTCAATCCACTTCTGGATTAGGGCCTCCTCATGCCGTGCAGGTTGTGGGGTTTATTTAACCATCCTTCACAATATGATGCCATGTTGGCGCGTGCGGGTTGCATGGATATGGGAGCATAGAAGTACAGTACGGTGGATTTTTCTGCATTGCCCTCTGCAGTCCATCAAACAGCCCAGCAGTCTATAAAAACATGTCAAATGGTAGTCGCCAATCCCAAAACTATCCGCTGAAATGTATCAGTTTCCAAGTGATTTGCTCATTGGCCCCATCACGCATTCCCGGACATTGTTGCGTACGGATGGAAGGCATCAAAATTAACCATGCAGAATAGCACCTGTTACCTGCCACGTCCTCCGCAGTGTGGTAGGCGTCCACTTCCTTCTCCTCGTCGTTCGTGTCCGTCTGCTCGTCGCCCACCGGTTCCATGTCCTCCGCCAGACACTCACCGTCCACAACTGCAAAGCATCATCTCGTTAACCATCAGTTTCGGGGTGTATGCGGTGGCTAGGAGAGAGATGTTAGGAGAGGTTATAGGCTCGATCCCGACCCTGACGCTTGTATATTTGGAGCTTGCATGTTCTCCCCGTGAGTCACGTGGTTTCTTGGTACTCCGGTTTTTCCCTCCATATTTAGAAAACAAGCATTTAGAGTATATTTGCCTGCTATACATTTCCACGTAATAAGCCACTTCGCTGAGCTATCATTTATGGCCAGGCTTCTGAAAAAAGCTACATAGCTCAGTGGGTCTTACCTGGTTAAATAAAAAGTTTGTTAGTATTACGAATATCGTGCGATGGTAATTTTGTAAATGGAATTGGTGACAAAAACATTAATCAAATAAGTGTTTTTTTTATTGTAGTCAACAACAGTTATGAGTGGATAAAACACATCAATCATGGTGATAACTACAACTAGCCACCAAAGCGCGACTATGACGAGACAAAATAAACGAGTCTGAATAAAGACCGACTAAGATGATTTAGTAACGTTATTAGCGACAGCAGTGCACCAAGCAATATAGGCCTTTGTGTCTCGAGAGACAATTCTTTTTGCGCCTTACGAGGTCAGCTGTAGGTTTTGCAGCGCCTAGAATGACTTAGTAGGCCAATCCTTGAGTGACAATCCTTGCCACAGCAATTGCAAGTGAATGCGGTGGCAGCTCCAGAGGTGTTTGTTGCTTTTTCTTTACGTTGCTCCTTCTTGGTCTGCCAAGCAGTGTGTCTTTTCTCCTCGTCTCTCCTGAGGCCTGTTTTCACAGCCTGCTGCCAGCTGAGTCGGTCGCCGGCAGTTTTCTCCCAGTCATTTGGGTTGATGTCGCGGCTCTTCATGCCCTGTTTACAGACATCTTTGAAGCGCAGGACCGGGCGACCAGTGGCCCGTGTGCCTGATGCCAGCTCGCCGTACAAGACATCCTTGGGTATTCTGCCATCCTGCATGCGGCGCATGTGTCCAAGCCATCTCAGGCGCCTATGACTGAGTAGAAAGTACATGCTGGGAATGTTGGCCAAGTTGAGAACTGAGGTGTTGGGAATGTGATTTTGCCATCTGATATCGAGGATGGGCCTGAGACATCGGAGGTGGAATGTGTTTAGTCGATGTTCTTGATGGGCGTATGTTGTCCAGGACTCTGACCCATAGAGGAGGGTGCTAAGGACGCAGGCCCGGTACACTTGTACTTTGGTGTTGAGCGTTAGGGATTTGTTCTCCCACACTCTTTTAGCCAACCTGAACATAGCTGTAGACGCCTTCCCAATGCGCTTGTCGATCTCTGTGACAAGGGACAAATTGTAGGTGATGGTAGAACCCAAGTAGGTGAAGTCCTGAACGACTTCCAGGGTGTAGCTGCCAATGTTTATGGAAGGGGTGTCTCTGACATCCTGGCCCATGACATTGGTCTTTTTTAAACTGATTGTCAGGCCAAAGTTGTTGCAGGCATTGGCAAGGTGGTCGATGAGTGTCTGCAAACCTTGTTCTGTGTGAGCTGTCAGCGCAGCATCATCAGCAAAAATGAGTTCTCTAATGAGGACTTTGCGGACTTTGGTTTTGGATCTGAGACGGCCAAGGTTGAAAAGTTTGCCATCAGATCTTGTATGAATAAAGACTCCCTCTTCTGCTGTCCCAAAGGCATGTGTGAGCATAAGTGAGAAAAAGATGCCAAACAGTGTTGGGGCAAGCACGCACCCCTGCTTTACACCGCTGAGTATGGGAACTTCCTCTGAGGTGGTGCCGCTGTGCTGTATTGTTTCTTTCATGTTGTCATGGAAAGAGGAGATGATTGCCAGCAGCTTCGGTGGACAGCCGATCATTTTGAGGAGTTTGAAGAGGCATCCCCTACTGATGAGGTCAAAGGCTTTAGTAAGATCAATGAATGCCGAGTACAGGGGCATTCTCTGTTCTCGACATTTCTCCTGTAGCTGACGCAAGAAGAAGAGCATGTCAATTGTAGACCTTCCTGCTCTGAAGCCACACTGAGCCTCAGGATACGTCCTCTCAGATAGTATCTGTAACCTGCTGAGGGCCACACGGGAAAAGGTTTCCCCCACAATGCTCAGCAGGGAGATGCCGCGGTAGTTTTTGCAGTCCCCACGGTCACCCTTGTTTTTATATAGGGTGATGACGTTGGAGTCTCTCATGTCTTTTATATATATAGGGTGATGATGCTGGAGTCTCGCACCAAGCAATATCATATCTGATAATTGATTAATATATTATGTGCCCCCGGCCCCAACATTATAAATAACTAAAAGTGGACTAAATGTTTACCTGCTTCAGTCAACGAGACTATGAGAATGACAAAATGATATCCACAGACTACGACTTGACTTAGCTTACATAGTTTGTCATCCAGACCAATATACCGACTAAATCAACGGCGCACTCTCGCTCACGTGCGCTGCTCGCCGCTGGAGGCTCGCAGATGGCGCGCGCCTGGGCAACTCAAATTACGCAGGAGGCAATCGGCACGTAGGGTGTGGTGGGGGAGGAGGTGGGGGGGGGGGGCGGCGTTTGTGGCTCCTACCGCCCGCCCACCGCTGCCCATCTGCTTGCCGTGGCGATGAATCGCCGTGTCCAACAAGGCTCGTCAGTGTGACCGCTCACTTGGAACTAATGGCCAGCAAGGGCTCGCGAAGGACGGCCTCTCGCACTCGGTCACAGAGAGCCTCTCCCTCAACAACAGTTGGAGCGCAAAATAAAAGCGCCACAAAATGAAGGAGACCCTCCCCCCACTGGTTATTCACGACGTGACTCTTTAACGCCGACAAAATATTTCGTAAAGTGCAGCGCTCGTTTCTTAAGAGGTTCACGCAGCTCGGGAAATGTTTTTAAAAGAGATACCGTCACCTGTCGTGAGGCGAGACGCAATCCATACAATTTGAACAAAATCACGCTCACGTATGGGTTACGTAACACTTTCCAACGTGCCTTTGTCTTCCCCAGAATTTAATAAGCTGTAGGGAAATTGAGGTTTGTGCCTACAGGTTTTGGACAATGCTTTAATAACACAAGTCAGCAAATGCTGATAACAGGACATATGATTGACTTTTTAAAAAATTAACAGACAACCTGGAACATAGCCCAGGTACATATTCACAAAATAAAATGTGTTCCTTAGGTTTTATATTCTTTACACTAAAAGGAAAGGCTGATTTAATTTACAATGAATTAACATTTAGATTCAATGGGATTTTAAAGAACACTTTTCAGTCGCTCATGAAAAAAAAATCGCAGTATTTTCACCACATAACAAATCCTATTCCTTACCATATTCAACCTTATATATGCTACAAGCATATTATTGTCCCATTAATTATCCCTCTTTGAAAAAGCTCTATCAGCTTACCTCAACAACCCTGACCAAAACTGTTTGAAAACATTAACTAGCTCCATGAGGTTGGGTTATAGCTTGCACAGGTTTGAAATGTACATTGTTCAAACCTGATTTTAAATGAACGCAGCAGTCAATTCGTTAACACTAAACTGGTTTATGTTCATGTAAAAAGAACGACTCATTACTTGTTTTTTTGGGTTGTACCACACGTTGCGAAAAATATCCTAGCAAGTGGAGCAAAACATCAAGACATAATTCAGTAACAACCCCAAAACGGATCACACCACAACCATGAAAACTTACACAGTAGCAGGACTACTGACATTCGTTTCACAAGATAATCATCATCATTCAGAAAACCTTCACAAAACATTAAGCTAGACCTTGTGTAAGCCATAAGTAACGGAGCGGATCGTTGTCTTGCCATTCTAAATCGCGGGGATCCAGTAAATTAGATTGCATAGAAAAAGGACTGCCGACATTGCTATCCAACAAAAACTGTCAATATTCTAATCATCACCATATCACCATGATCCAACGAAACTGCCAAAAATATTAAGCTGAACCCTGTGTGAGCCACAAAAAATTGAACGGATCACTCTGCCATTCTACCACGTGCTCCCCACATGCGACGACGGGCATCGCGGGCACGACGTACCCGGGTTTTCACCATCGATGGACGAGTTCGACTCCCTCTCGCTGGGGAATCCGGCCGAGTGGGTGGCCGTGGCGTCGAGTGCGCTCAACCGCTGGGCGCAATGCGACAGCTCCTGGCTCAGGCTATTGAGCATCACCACCAGCACGTCAAGCAGACGGCCCAGCCCCGGGCACGCTAGGCAGCCAGCGCCCGCCTTGGCCGCCTCGCCGTTGATGGCCATGACCACGCGCCGCACCACAGCGTAGAAGCCGAAGGGCAGGCGCTCGCGCGCCACCGAGAAAAGCTCGGCGCGCACCTGCAGGTCCTCGGCGCAAGCAAGCAGCACCTCATAGTCCTTGATGCCCAACTCCGTGTCCATGGCGTGAGCAATCTCGGAGCTCACGCCCCGCGAGCACAGCCACGCAGGGAAGTCCTCGTGGATGCCCGTATCGACTTCGGTGGCCATGGTGCGCTCCGGCGAGGCCCTGTTAAGGCAGGATGGGCAGTGTCAGTGACGCATCCGACAGTGACATCTCAAATGCTCCAGTGCAGAGATATTTCAACTGCGGGGCCCACATGGCCAAATCTGACCTGTAAAGGCTCTCGGAATGGTCCACCTAGCTGCAGCCCGTCCAGAGATAAGGCCTGTCAAGATATAAGGAGATAGAGTCGTGGAATTAAAGAGATGCTCAAGAGATTAGAGAGCTGTAGACAAGAGATAAATATAGTGAGATGAAAGTCAGATGAACAAGACCGATGACAGACCTGGAGACAAAAGATTAGTGGTCACATGTACAAAACACAAGCTTTCCTGATGTCAAGTTAAGTCATAACGTCTGTGCATATGACACCGTGGACTGCAATTACAATCTAATTGCATTATTTAGCCCACCGGAAGATCATGTAAAAACATTCCTCTAGTATAATCATGATATCATAACTAGTGAAATAAGAACTGTTCCACCTGTGTTGAGATGAAATAAGGAATCCACTCAGCGGTGAAGCAGCCACTCAGCCTCATGCCAACTTCAGCGTCATCATTCGTATTTAAAAAATCTCATTCCATATTTAAAATGTAGTATCATGGCGTAATGTATCCAAAATAGCTATTATGCCTCCTCCAACCAGCGTTAGCAGATTTGACTCATTAGTGACAACGAGCACAGCATATGGAAGCATTCAGCACAGCAGTGCAACAAAGACTTCAACTCTCAAGCCAGCTAAATGGGCAGAGCACTTACTGTGGGTGGCTAATTTAGCCATGACAACGGTGCACAAACGGCTACAGATTTGTGCATCGCAGGATATTCAAGTGTCCCCAAGCAAGGCAGATGCAGAATTTGTGATGCAACAACCATACAGCACAATCAGGGAAGATGTGGACCAGGGAAAGGAATGAGGGCTCCAACCCTGGTAACAGCAGGGAGCCACTTGAACAGCAAATCCTAATTTTCCGCAGTCGTCCGCACTCTCACAACACAAAGGCTGCTCAATCATCATCAGGGCTTTTTGGGATGGAAATATTTAGGTATCCTATTAACCATTCTTTGAGCACTACCATGTGGCTACTGGTGCAAACAAAGCAACTAAAATTCTCACCGCAACAATCCATCAATCCAAGATTCACAACGCATCATTTGAACGCAAAAGCTGCGACACAATGGCATAACAATAATATCACAATAATTCCACAACCGAAATTGCTTAGAAAGTAAGTTAATCAATCTTCGGTAACAGCCAACATATTGTGACTTGAGGCAGTGTGTACAGATTGTAATGTTGTGCACACACGATTACCCCACATGATGATTTAGCGCAACACGTCATCCACAGATGATGCAGAGCGGAGCAAACATTCTAAGACAGTAAAATTAATCAGACATTAATGCTGTAATTTGTACGTTTCCAAAAACCTGTTTGCTGTAACTCACGTAAAATCCTCCATAACCACAAACTTGGGGAGATGGGAGACCCAGACGCTACCAAGCTATGGAAACAATAAAGATAATGTAGAACTATCTTCTTCGGGCAAAAACTTCTCTGGTGCATTTAATGAAACTCGAGGAAAAAATAAAGTAGGCTAAAATCCTGGCACTCTTGAATGCTGATACACACATTGGTAATCATAGATAGATGGAGTGTTGCGTTGCAAACATTTTCAGGTTGGCATTGATTTAGGGAATCATTCGTCCAAGTGGATAGGCGATGGATGAGAATGATGATAATCTAGTATAGATTGGATATATACATCCCTAATAAGTAACCTTCTTTAGAGTGTAGTATCCTGTGTATACACGTGTGCCCATGAACCAAATCACCCGGAATATGCGGGATCTTGCCAGATCTCAAAAGTTAGGCAGGGTTGAGAGCCTGGGTGGTGATTGGATGGACGACGACGACATACTAGAGTTGTTATAGGATGCAAGGCTACGTCACGGGCAATAGATGTAAGTGTAGCAAAACCATTGTTATACAGGGACCCCTCTACTTGCGAACATGCAACTTACAAACTTTCAGAGATACGAACAGTACCTAAAGTCGTAAGTTCAACTGCCACGCAATAGATGGCGGTGGTGGCATCTACATCTGCAGAACGTGAAGAACCAGTGGCATCTACATATGCAGAACATTTTCAGGAGATTATACAAATTTTAAAGCCATTCCCCGTGTTTAGTATACATGCCGTAACAACATGTTTGGAATCGACAGAGGCAAAGTTGGACTTCCGAACAAATCGCCTTCCAAACAGACATCTGCAACCTAACTCGTTCGTAAGTAGAGTCCCTCAACTGTACTTCTATACTCCCAAATGACCACCATAAAGTATGGTCATACAGCCCTCACTGGTCCACATGGCATAGAGGCCTCCCATTCAGCAAGGGTCGTACATGAGCATTTGCATATTCGGCATGAAAATCCATAGCAATGCACGAGTAAACGATTGTGGTTCACCTTATATACATGAGTATTATTTAAAAGTGCATTGTACAGAATCAACAATGTGCTGATGTATCATTTAAGGAGTGTTAATAATTAATCGCATTTATATGTATCTCTAATGCCTAACATTCGTATATGCAATCCGGCATATGGATGTTGCGCGTTACATGTACATACGCATCCATAAAAGTGTGTCAATTAACCACATGCCATCAAACACTGATTAACATGTACTACTAACCACTCACCCTTGCATTTAGAATCACATTCGTTTCATAAAAAAAACTCAGCAGACAATACCACTGTAATGTATAATGTATACATACTTACATTTATGTAATATATACTAATACTGTTATATCACAAATTAAAATAATTCATGATATCCTGTACATACATGAGCATTTGTATCCCATGTATTGTATCGCTTACATAGTACAAGTACAGTGCATGCCTTTGTAATGACACTGCTTCGGTGTCTAAACTATACTCTTTGGTTCTTTCGGTAAAATCACGTAGGTAGAAAAATAATAGATCAATAGATGTTGTTCTACCTACGTGACTTTACCGAAAGAACCAAAGAGTATGGATTCCTGCAGTCACGAAAGCTTCAAATCAAGATTGTCTAAACTATGTTTATTATTGATCAGGTAAGGCCCACTGAGCTCTGTGGCTCTTTTTCAAAAGAGACCTGGCCACAAATGATAGCTCAACGAAGTGGCTTATCACGTGGAAATGTATAACAGCGAAATATTCTAAACGCGTGTTGCGACCAAGGGAAGAGAGAGACACGCAAACTCTAAATATACAGCAGGCGTCAGGGTCGGGATCGACCCTACAACCTCCTGTATACCAGGCGAGGTAGTTAACATCTCCTAGTCACCGTGATGATGAGAGAGACATGCAAACTCTAAATATACAGCAGGTGTCAGAGTCGGAATAGAACCCACGACCTCCTGCATACCAGGCAAGGTAGTTAACATCTACTGGCCACCATATGATTATGAGAGACACGCAATCTCCAAATAGACAGCAGGCGTCAGGTTCGGCATCGAACCCACGGTCTTCTGTATACCAGGCGAGGTAGTTAACATCTCATAGCCACCGTGGTCTCCCCACACCATGCAAGTCACGGGGGTTATTTTGCCCACAATTGGCCACACGGGTCAGCGAGACAGGGACGGGTGCATCGAAGTTGCGCACTGAAATGGCATTTAGTGCACTAGCCACCACTAACCCACCACATCACACAAACAAGCCCGCATACTTTCAAGTACCATTTAAGCTTCGTACATGGAGAACAAATAAACAAATCCTTTCTAGTATCCTGCACGTACATGTTTACGTTCATCACACACGATCCTCAGTTACACGGCATACGGTGAGTAACGTGCACTCAAGGCCGCACTAATACTGGTAGGAACGAAGTTGTAAACTGAGTGTACCAGCCTGCAATAGATTAATGTGTCCGTCCGTCCGTCCCCTTTCAATACTTTAACGAAGTGAAATCTCGTGCTGTTGGGCGTAAAATCAGCAATAGACAGCGCAGAGACTTGACATGTCTTATTACACCCAACATTTGGAAGTCACATTATCTCATTTGCGAACTTCTACCAGCCCACCCTGCAGGGACCTGTTATTACATCAAAGCTTGACACATACGTTGCACAGCGGGTGCACGCTTGTCCACCAACCAAAACCACTGGCCATACATCCTGCAAACACGTCTGTCACAGACGGTTTGTGTGCATCACTTCCTGTATATAAGCACGCGGCGTCTTCACAGAAACACACGCAAAAAAACACCCGTGGTGGTTAACGATGCACCAGTCACACCAGTTACATCCAAGCAAGACCTACAAATCCTGCAAACGCCTACCCGGCGAAGCGGCGGCCCACGCCACTCGAGCGGTCCCCGCGGCAAACAGAAAGCCGAATGGGCACAAAACCAGCCGGAAGCAAGACAACGCAGCCACAACTAAATTTTAAATAAAAAAACACACTTTCTACAACCGGCAACAACAACAACACCAATTTTGTTTTTCTGTGGGCCGCCGGACTTGTCAGCTGGTGGAAGCGGTCTCAAGCAATGCCGCCGCGTGAGGCTTACTTACAGAAGCGGCGTGAGGAGCAGGCCACGTCTGGTGACACAAAATCACACTCGGGTGTAGCTTGGTTAGAGCTTTGCTTTATTATTAACCGACAGCGGCAACGGAAAACCCCGGGGTAAAAGAATGACGGCGAGATGATGATGATGATGTTGATGATTTAGGAGGAAGGACGGAGAGCGAGAGGCGTCGAGGCCTACGGCGGCGACTCGGGGTTGAGGCGAGAGGGCTGAATGGGGACAATTTAACGCGCAATTTCGCTCCGGGTTCCGCCGACTCCTGTCAGAAGAGTAAACAAATGCAAACGCAACAAACACACAGGAACACACAACAACCCCCCCCCCCCCCAATGTCTGCCGACGCTACGCAGTGCGGCGATGTTAGTTGCGGGCGAATTTGTTGACGAGAGGAAAGAGAGAGGGAGAGGAGAGGGGGAAAAAAACCTCCCCTCACGCGAACACACAACGGTTGTGTTGCTTGGGGAAGTGAACACGAATTCGTTTTTGTTTTTTAAAGCCCGCGGAGGCGAAGGAAAGGCACGAAGCGTGGACGGCGCCACGGGACTCACCGGGCCACGCTCGCTCGCCGCCGCCGCCGTGAAACGTCCAGGGCGAGCAGTGACGTCACCGCCATGGCGGCCCGGGGGGAGGGGGGAGGGCCCGGCACCCCCCAACACCCCCCCACCAAGATGCCCCACCCCCCAAAGACACCACCCCCCCCACCAAGATGCCCCACCCCCCAAAGACACCACCCCCCCTAAGATGCCCCACCCCCGCACCAAGATGCCCCACCCCCCCCACCAAGATGCCCCACCCCCCCACCAAGATGCCCCACCCCCCCAAGATGCCCCACCCCCCAAAGACGCCACCCCACCCCCCCAAGATGCCCCCCCCCCCACCAAGATGCCCCACCCCCCCCAAAGACGCCCCCCCCCCCACCAAGATGCCCCACCCCCCAAAGACGCCACCCCCCCCCCACGAGCACTTTCATGCCAGGTCACAGAGGGTTTTACCTCTGACTTAAAACTTTCGTGACTGCAGGAATTCATATTGTTGACGTTACCGAAAGACCCAAGGATTATGGTTTTACCTCTGTTTGCGTACAGACGTTCATGACAGGTCACGGAGGGTGTTTTTTTACCTGTTTGTACGCTTAATGCCAGCTAGGGAGGTTTTACACGCCTCTGTTTATACGACGCGTATACCAGGTCAAAGGTTTTTACCTCTGTTTATACGATGCGTATACCAGGTCAGAGGTTTTTACCTCTGTTTATACGAGGCGCATACCAGGTCAGAGGTTTTTACCTCTGTTTATACGACGCTCATGCCAGGTTACGGAGGGTTTTACCTCTGTTTATACGAGGTGCATACCAGGTCAGAGGTTTTTACCTCTGTTTATACGACGCTCATGCCAGGTTACGGAGGGTTTTACCTCTGTTTATACGACGCTTATACCAGGTCAGAGGTTTTTACCTCTGTTTCTACGACGCTTATGCCAGGTTACGGAGGGTTTTACCTCTGTTTATACGACGCTTATACCAGGTCAGAGGTTTTTACCTCTGTTTATACGAGGCGCATACCAGGTCAGAGGTTTTTACCTCTGTTTATACGACGCTTATACCAGGTCAGAGGTTTTTACCTCTGTTTCTACGACGCTTATGCCAGGTTACGGAGGGTTTTACCTCTGTTTATACGACGCTTATACCAGGTCAGAGGTTTTTACCTCTTTATACGACGCTTATGCCAGGTTACGGAGGGTTTTACCTCTGTTTTTACGACGCTTATACCAGGTCAGAGGTTTTTTACCTCTGTTTATACGACGCTTATGCCAGGTTACGGAGGGTTTTACCTCTGTTTATACGACGCTTATACCAGGTAATGCCATATCACAGAGGTTTTTGCTTCTGTTTATACGGTAATGCCATATCACAGAGGTTTTTAATCTGTTTATACGGTAATGCCATATCACAGAGGTTTTTTTACCTTTGTTTATACGGTAATGCCACATCACAGAGGTTTTTACCTTTGTTTATACGGTAATGACACATCACAGAGGTTTTTAATCTCTGTTTATACAGTAATGACATATCACAGAGGTTTTTAACCTCTGTTTATACGAAGGCTCATGTTCTGTGTTGCTATGTTTGATGATTGATATATTGTCTGTGGTATCCGTATTTAATACACGTATTTAAGATATCTACAACTATCAACAAAGTATTTGATATTGTAGGTAGTTGAGGATGTACCTGAATACGTCTGTTGAATATATTTGCGAAAATGAAAGCTAAACAGGGTGGCCCATAAGTCAGGACAGACATGGCTATTGCATTTATTTTAACAAAGCGCACCGGTTTATGTAATTAAAAAAAAACATTTTAATGTTCAAACTGACTTTAATGAATATGAATGCATGCATGAATTATCTTTTGAAATTAATATAGGGCGATTTTTTTTTTAAGATTACACGTGTAATCTCCGAACATTCATCAAAGTATGTTTTCATATTCTTTGGGTCTTTCGGTAAAGTCACGTAGATAGAAAAACAATAAAATAAAATAAATCACGACGTTTCGATCGCAACACAAGCAATGGTCTTCAGGTGAAAAAGCACAGCAGACGAACTGCTGAGGCAGCATAAATATATTGGTCGTGGTTTGTTAACGATTGGTTTAAGGTGACCACACCGGAAAAAAAAGTGTTGATTTAAAAAAAATGTTGCTTCAAATATGGGGCCGTCCATAAATGACGTCACGCGATTGTGGACGAATTTTGACTCCGCCCCCCCCTCGTCACCCGGCGTCACAAAAAGTCAGACCCCCCCTCAAATATGACGTCACAAACTCTGCCCCGCCCCCCCGAAAAATAAAACATGCTTCAAATTGCTTTAAACTATTGTCATTGTAGTGCGTATTTAATGTGCCGCTGCACTCTGATGTTGTAGGAGAAAATATTTATCAAAAAGTATATTTAATTAAGTAGAACGTGTTGTCTGCATTTATTTAAAGTTGCGCATTTTGATGTGACGTCACATTTCTCAAACCCCCCCCCCCTCGTCAGAAATGTCTGACCCTCCCCCCAGATGCGTGACGTCATTTATGGACGGTCCCTATAAACTATAAAAAAAATATTACAGGTGTTGAAATAAATTAGATCACCCTGTGTCCTGACTATCGCCCCCCCCCCCCCTGTATCACTGATCAAACACAACAACAACAGCAGCATGCGAAAATTACCTGCGCTTGGGCTGTGGCAGCCAGACCAAAGCAATCTATCGTCCACGTGTTGGCTGCTCCGTCGTGTTCTCTGTTGTGGATTCGGCAGGCAAGAGCAGTAGAACATCGACACGTAGCATACATTTATATGGTGTTTCATTATTATTTAACATATTCTTGGTTCTTTCGGTGAATTCACGTAGAAGGGAAAACAATAAAATAATAAAAATATAAAACAATAAAATTCTCACGATGTTTGCATTCTGACCACAAGTATTGTGGTTAATGCAGACATGATTCGTTGTTAAAGGTTTCAGTTTGGTGTTTGAACATCTTAACACTTGTTTTGTTGTAAAAAAAAATGGGAAAACCTCTTCTCATATTTTGGTACTGGCAAAGGAGGTCCCATGGTGTATAAAATATCCCTGTGTGTTAGCTAGAACGGGTGAGAGCCTGGACGGGTGAGAGCCTGGACAGGTGAGTGCCTGGACAAGTAAGTGCCTTGATAGGTGAGGTCGCCAATTCGATTCAATCTTCCTTATTTTTTCTTTTACAAAAAATGAGTCCAACTAATGCATGCAATCATGAGTCAATTTACCGGTCCTTGACGTTCGAAACCTGTTAATATATTCCGAAAACGGTTACAGGTTATCGTTTAATGACCCAATATATTCCATACTAATCCTATACTGTTTGTACACGGTGTTTCTATCTTCTACTTATATCCTTATGGATTCATAGCAGCAGATTAAAGATGCAATGTTAGATGTTATCCACTCAATTGTCTGTTCAGACGCAGAGTGGATCTCGCCCGTGCCTCCGTTGAAGGAGTGAAGGCATCGGCTGTTTACGATGCGGTCGATCGTTTGGGATTGGTGGCCGCACTTGCAGGCCGCCCAATCTTTGATGGCGCCATTTGTGGCATCGGGTGACCGCATCGGCCACGTGGCCCGGTCCTTGATTCGGTTGATGGTCGACCGCTGGCGGCGTGGAAGGTTGAAACCTCGAGGTTCGACGGTAGGGTCCTGTACGAGATGCTGATTTTTTTACGTCGGCCGCAGTCCATACTCTCGCCTCCATCTCTCGCCTTCGCTTGTGTTTGTAGCGTGAGGTGAGGCTGCTGCTGTGATCCAGAAGGCGGGATGGACGTGATTTTAGGCGAACCAGGCGGCACTGGGTTTACGTAGCCGATGTATCGGAGGGTGCGGGGATTTTGGTACACGGCGGAGCCGTGCGGGGTGAGCACCGGGAGCCACTGGGCCGGCGTAGACTCCGGCGTACCTGAGATGGGCACGCATCGCAATGTTCAGTCGAGGTGGTATTTGTTTTTACATTAACAGTGGCTGGTGAGTAGATGTCACAGTGATTCTGCAACATTGTTCTCCACTTCTTGAATCAATTTTTATAAACTGTAAACCGTTTTACTCGCCTCGCGAGTTCGCGTCGCTCATTTTGGTCGGAGTTTATTTGCTGCCTTGTCCTCAGGTTAAAGAGGCTCAACGCATGCTCGCCGATCAGATTCTGAGTGTGGAGCGAGCAAATCCAGATTCGTTGGTTATCGTACTTGGCGACTTTAACAAAGATAATCTCAGCCACGAACTCCCCAAATACATACAATTAATTAAATGCGCAACCAGAGAAGGGGACACTCTGGATCACTGCTACACTACAGTCAGTAGAACCTACCACGCCGTCCCCCGAGCAGCACTAGGACACTCTGACCATGCCATGGTCCACCTGATTCCTGCATACAGGCAGAAACTAAAACTCTGTAAACCTGCTGTGAGGACATCTAAACAGTGGACCAGTGAGGCTGTGGAAGATTTGCGGGCGTGCTTAGACTGAACTGACTGGGATATGTTCACGACTGCTACCAATAGTCTGGATGAACTCACAGAGGCTGTGACGTCCTACATCAGCTTCTGTGAGGACTGCTGTATCTCAACACGTACCAGGGTGAACTTTAACAACAATAAGCCCTGGTTCTCAGCAAAGCTCAGAAGGTTGAGGTTGGAGAAGGAGGAAGCGTTTAGGAGTGGGGATAGAGACAGATTCAAGGAGTCGAAGAACAGGTTTAGCAAAGCGGTGAGAGAGGCTAAACGACTGTACTCAGAGAGACTAAAACACCAGTTCTCTACTAACGACGCTGCTTCTGTCTGGAGAGGGCTCAGGCAGATCACCAACTACAAACCCAGAGCCCCCCACACCACTAACGACTCCCCCCTAGCCAACGACCTGAACGAGTTCTACTGTAGATTTGAAAGACAATTGGACTGTCCTGAACCACCCCTTCCCACCCAAGAGGCCCCACCCATACTACAGAGACGATTCTCTCCTTTCAGGAGGGAGAAGTTAATAGACTTTTCAAGAGGCAGAATCCACGCAAAGCAGCCGGGTCGGACTCTGTCTCTCCAGCCAC